CTCTCCATGAAGTCTCCACATGTCTCCTTTGAGATAGATAGCCCTCAAGTTTTTGGACATAATCAAATAAACCAAACTCTCATAATACTCAGATTACAGGAATGTACAAAAATCACATCCTCGTTTAATAAGTTTGGCTATTTCTTGTAACAGTGAATTCTGATGCAATTTTTCTGAATGTTAAATGCTAGTTCACAGGGCTTATGTTATCAGCCTGTATTTAGACTCAACACTACATCGTATAGATTGAAGAGTACTTGAATTACGGATAGCTGGTGTTATGCAAATTTTGATATGTGTACAACCCCGGAAACAACTTTCAAATGACGCAAGCAGCAGTTTGACAAGTAAGGGTATGCTGCTCATGGTATCAGAAATAGTTTCAAAAGCAAAATAAGTAAAACTATCCCTTCCAAGATCAACTGCCACGGACTACAGCATGTGGATAACCGAGGTTGGCGGCAGCTAGGTTGCATTGCAACAGCGGATAGACGGGCCACAGTGCAACAGATTACCTATTAATTTAACGCTGGTGCACAGCAACATGTAAGCTGCCACACCATACAAAACCACCTCCTTTCAATTGGGTACAGAAGTCATCATTCTATGAGAGTCCTTCTGCTGACTGCATAAAAAATGGCACAACAGTTAACACGAGAACATCGCCAATAGAAAGTCAAGATGTGAGAAAAAGCTGCCTGAAGTGATGAGCTGAGATTCATTTTGGCACATGCTGATGACAGAGTTGAGATTCACTTTGGCACACGCTGATGACAAAGTTGAGAATCACTTTGGCACACGCCAGGGTTGCCACTCAAACAGGAGAATGAAATTCCCGGACTTTTCCAGGTTTGTTTCGAGAAAATTCCAGTCTATCCACATAATGTACGTTGGCTGTGCTAAGACGTAAATTAATTATAGTATTACTTGTACTGTGTAGCAAATTCACTTAATTATTCAATAAATCCCAGAGGACATTTATTCTTAATTATTCTTGGTACACTTTGTTTGATAATTTTGTTTACTTTTCCGCTTAAAAACTTAATAAAATTTAAGATATATACATTGGATAACCAACTGTACGTTTTATTTAATTATACTCATGATCATCCCCAGTTCAACACGAGGCTAATCGGTTCTTATAAATCACAACGCAATGCTAAAAGTTAGGTTAGATTTTAGGTAAATTTAATTTGTGTGAGGTGTCTTCTTAAAAGGCACCTTAAGACTTTGAAAACACAATATAATTATAATAGGAGTTGTTTTCTCCACTGAAGATTGAGATTAGAATCTGCCCAATCTGGAATAAAATAAGGCTTTTTTTGCAGACTTCTGCAGCTAAACAAAAGAAAGAAATCTATTTAATGATATTTTTTTACTAAATGAGGTATTTTATATTTATTGCAGGCAACTAAGGAAAAAATATGTGCATTAAATTCGTGAGTCATCATACTGCTAGAATAATTTCAGGATATGCCAGAGAAAATTCCTGAATTGGAAATATTATTTACTAATGATAAATAAATTTAGAGGGAAGAAGCACCATTAAAGATATGAATAACATAAAAATAAAGATATTACTTAAAATTTAATTAGAATAATCAACGATATTTTAGCGAATATATTTTTTTTATTTTACTGCAAAATGACAAGGTATTTATAAAAGGAAAAGAAAAGGAAAGGAAAAAAAAAAAGATTTTGTGGTAAAATCCTAGTATACGATACGGCCTTCGCATGATTTTGAAAATTGTCGCCAAGAACAAAATGACCCGTTTACTGCTCAGCATCATGTCGCCAAATCCCACTGTACCATACATGGAGATTATTCTCACCAAAGAACGTCTATGTAAAAAGCGGAGGGAAAATTTGCCAAGGGATTTTACGATGGAACGGCCAGAATGTCTCTCTCCGCGATGTGTACAGGAAATTGAGAAACACGTGGTAAGAAGAAACGTTCTGACAAAAAAGAAAACTACGAAAATCCATTTTTAAATTATTGTGAAAAAACCAAGAAGAAACGTTTTATCAAAGAACGTTTTTTCTTGAATTTTTCGCAATAATTTTAAAAACGGATTTTCGTAGGTTCCCCCTGCCTCAAAATAACTAATCCATGAATTAATTTACTTGCGCCAAAAAATATTTTCTTTTCCTTTAGAGTTTAAAGACATTATGTAATTTATGAATATAATTCATTTTATGAACTCTTGATAACGTGACCTTCGAACTTCAACACCGGTTTCGAGCTTTGGCGACAGATACATATATCGCGCATGCACAGCTGTTTCCCGCTATGATGGAACCGAGCCACGTCTGTTGCATAGAGGTTTTCCTTCTTTATAATACATATTTTTTTAATTCTAACCTTCATGGTACCATATACTAGGATTAAACCCATTTTGTTTTATACGAGAACAGGTACTTTCTTTAGTTCATGCACTGTACATGCGATTCTCGAGGTTACTGGAAACCAAAAGTTGTGGGAAACTTGCTTTGTCTTTCTAAAAAGACAATCAAATTGGAGCTGCGAAAATTGGCTCTATGCCAGCTGCCCAAATGATACACAATTCGCCAAAAAAGTGATCTCTTCTGACGTCGGCGCAAAACTCGCCTTTTTTTGCAGGATCATTGTATGAAATTATCTGACTTTTCCAGATTTTGACTGAAACACTTAAATTCCCTGACTTTTCCCTGAATTTTTGGTCAATTTCCGAATTCCGACTTTTTTCGGTTTTCCCGGTTTTCCAGGTAGCGTGGCAACCCTGACACGCTGATGACAGAGTTGAGAATCACTTTGGCACATGCTGATGTGTATGGCATAAACGACATGAAGCGATGGATCTATCTGGAACTTGTCTGTTGGAAGTGGTATTCTTATCTGGGGAAGTGTTCATATGAACTGAAATGAGAACCCTGGAACATATGACATCGTCTTTCACAGATAAACATTACCAGGATATCCATGACAACCATCTGTTTCCATATGTTGGTTTTTAATGGCCCAGTACCGAGATTATCTTTCAACAAGACAATATACCATGCCATCACTCCAGAATTGTACTGGAATGGTTGGATAAACATTCCACAGACCTGCATGTGCTTTCATGGCTATCAAGGTCACCTGACCTGAATCCGATCCAGATCTGGAATGCAACTGAGACAGAGATGTTCGAGGCTCTTACCATCTTACATCTAATCTTCGTGAATTGTGTGAGGTTGTTCAGGAGTTGTGGATGCGTATTGGTTTTCCATCACTTGCAGTGCCTTGTTGAATACATGCCAAGATTAATCGCAACTGCCATCAAGGCAAAAGGTGGTGCTATTGACTACTAGACAGGTATCCCTATTTCAATTGCTCTTCATGTAAAATGGCTATTGAGATGCAGCCAAATTTTTTAGTCCCAATGAGCAAATACAGAAAATGCTTGGAAGACATTTTATATTTCTTCATGACCCTCCCTTGACTTTTACCAGCTAAGAATATGACTGCTCCATGAACAAGCAGATACCCTAAACTGCTGTAGATGATCTTATTCTTGGCTTAAATTAATGCTGTCAGGCATGTACTTCCTAAATAGACATCATATTATGTACTGACAAACCTCAACCAATGAACTATTTTACCATCCAAAATCCTATTACATCTATTATTTAATTATTGATTGATAAATTTCCTTACATTTTTCAAAGCTAGTGTCTTCTGACAGGACTCTTAATCAGGTAAATTTCAATGAATTTAAATTAATACCCCTCTTTTATTCCCTTTGTTCACTCTGAAACTTAAGTTTTGGACGTGAGTATATTAAATGCAAAATACAGAGACATGTTAATGACAACTAGCAAAGAATTCTAACTTGATCAGCTAAAAATGAAATTTGAAAAAAACTATCTGAAGTACTGTCAAATGTTAGGTTCAAAGACAATCCAAATGCAAATTATGTTTATCACATTTAGATTTTATGTGTGCTGCAGCATTCTGTGTTAACTAATATTAATTTTTAATTCTGCCTTGATAACTGACATAATTTCACCATAGTACTTGCTTTTTACATATCAGTATACCATACAGCACACAAACAAGAAAAAATGAAAACACATCTGTTAAAAGTAAGATATCTCTCCCTCTTGCCCACAGCAATGTAACCTAATAAAATAACAAATCAATATATCTTCTAAGTGAATTCCCATAATTAAGTCACTACTATAAGTAAGTACTCAAACAAAATGGTAGGAGGAAAAATGGTGAAAATACTTACCTGTTATGAGATTTTACAAACGAGAATTGAGGTGTTCTGAAGCATGCAATTGCACATCAGAGGGTTTTAATAGCATTTATCAGCCTCCTGGCTAAGATCAAAGGGTAGACTTTAATGTTGCTGTCAAGTGCACACTTGTCACTACTCCATGAAGGTTTAAAAGATAAAACTCAAGCTTAAATTACCTTAATGAAACTCAATAAAACAGCACAATTTATCTTCGCAGAAGACCACTTAAACCATTTTCCTGAAAGGGAAAGAACTTTACATCCCTTATTTCCAAGCTGCAAATTGAAAAAGTGGAAAAAAAATGGACTGACACATGCAGAAATGATTATGTGCCTTTTTGCATAAAAGCTGAAGACATAACAATGTGTTATAACCTGTCTTTTACCTAGGCACTTCTTTCCTAGAAAATGAATCAGCATGCAAGACAAAGAAAATTTAAGAGTGATAAAATAATAATAAATTAATAGAAAACCTGGTAACAAAAGCAGCATACTGCATACTTTCACTCTCCTAAAAAGTTTCATATGAGGGTGGAAGAAAAAGCAATAAAATTACCGAGAATGAAAAAGGTACACTGAAATACAGCTGAATATTGTTTTTCAGTATTTAACAAGCAAATATTAACACTTTTATACATACTTATATTTTTAACCTTTATACATACTTAATCAAAATGCATTAGCAATCATCCAACAAAATTAATCAGAATTAAAGAATACACATGGCAAAATACAATACCTGGAGAACTCATTGCTGATCTTTTGCTAAGGAAATCTCTTTCATCAGCATCTCCATTAGACCAACCTCCTAGAACCTCAAATGAAACACTGGCTGAGGTTGACATGCGAGGAGCCCATGTTTGCCCAGCAGACACTGAAACACAATAATGAAAATTGCTCAAGGCGAACAAATGTAAACAGTTCAAAGTAAATCACAAAAAAAGCAAAACAAGTAAAGAGTTCAAGAAGTATCAAATAATCTGTATAATACATGAAAATAAAAGACATCAATACCCATACTTAACTTTACTACCAGTAATGCTAAAAATTATAAATTAAAACTTATGTTTAGCAATAATTAAAAGCATCTATTTTAATATTAACTCATTTTTCCTTAGTCCATTTACTATGGTTGTTAAAATGTCATTATTAATATTTTATTTTTATTCTTAATTCGCCAAAAATATTCTACGTTTTTCCGCTTACGGCAGCATCTCACCAAACATAAGGTAGCCATTACAAAAAGTTCCCCGATATGTGAACCACTAGCAGCCAATCCACTCAACCAATCAAAATGAAATTTCAGATATTGTTATTCAAATGTATGCACTTCAGATTGTGGCGATTTAAAACAATAGAGATCTCATGGTTATGGTTACAGTCAAAAGATTTAGAAATTTTGAAATTGCCACACCCATTTCTTTCCTGCGCAAATTCATTAGCACTGAAAAACTGTGAATGGCACAAGAATGATAGACATATGATAAAAAATCCCAACATAAAACATCTGCAAAGGACTTATTAATTACAACACAAGAGAGGAAAGAGAAGAAACTTATTCGAATTACAAGTTTTCAACCTGCCCATTTTTGTAGATGATAGCACACCACATACAGGAGATTGCTGATGACAATCATGAATGTAACACGGCAGGAGAAATCTTCATAACTTACTATTTGAAGGCATCTTTCAATTCTGAAAAATGTCATGAATTTGATGTGTACACCTTAGATTTTAGGTACCTAGAACCAGAAATTGATCAGATTGAAGTTGGGGCATTGCAGTGGCCACGAAGCTGAAAGTTACGAGATCTCCAGAGTGCTGTTGCAGGACTTGACAAACGCATGTGGCAATATGTGCGGAAGCACCGATTTGCATTCATACAATGTCATCAATGACATTTCGCTACTGCAATTTTGGAACTGTGTAACTCTGCAACATTGTTGTACACCAAGCAAATATAATGCAGCATATTTTCATGCCTGTGGAAGTGACTTCTTAGAAGTACGGACCAAGAATGAATGTGCTGGCAACACTGCATCACACAAGTCACTTTAGCTTCATATAAAGGCACTGGTGTCACACAAACAGGTTTCTTATCAGCCCAGCGAATGCTATTACTGTGAATTATGGAAAATGCATCAATGCACATCCTCACAATGTAGTCTTTGCTCCTTTACATTGCTCTTCTTTGCAAATGTTTTAAGCTAGGGATGCACAACCGGTGGGTAGCCCGCTGAGATCTTTAAAATATTATGTTGTTATTTGACATATCAGTTGTCTCCAGAAGGGGATGCGAGCAAAATAAATTTTCACCACTTCTCCCTCCATTACTCATTCCACTCTGTTCCCTCGAAGTGAGATTTGGCATTGAGCCAAGTTCCCGGAGTCAACCAAAGCCCGCTGCCTGAACACGAAAATTGCTCCTAGCCTGTACGACCAACACCTGTAGATGATTGTGAAAGAGTCTGTAGTATATGATGTAGCACTAGTGTGATTGCACACATGTGCTAGTATAGTGAAAGAGAAAAATATTTGCTCAGATCCGCATTCATTTGCTTGGCATCATTGTACTTTTAGCTTTGTGTCTATACATTGCTATATCACGTGTGTATTTATTTATCTTTTCGAGACCATTAAGATGTTTCATGTTTTGAATATTTCACTTTTTTGTTTAACAGGGTTCGTACATATTTCCTTACATGAAAATTAAGGACTTTTAAGGACCATCAAAGAAAAAATTAAGGACCTATCAGCAAACAAAAAAACGAATAGAATAAAGCAATTATCCATACATCCGACTTCATGCTTGTAATTTAACTTTAAGAAACTAACAGAAGTGTGTATTATGCACTATTATTAAATTCAATTTAATACTTACCACAAAGCAATTTTGAAAATTAAACTAACTCCCTACAAGTTATGAAGTAGAACCACAATTAGGAACATAATTTCTTGAAAAACATGTATAAGTGTATTTTACACTAATAACAGTCACTATTTTAGAGATTTAATGATTATTATTTAACTTATTTGATATTTATTTAAACACAGTCAACTACTATTATAATCACAATGTAAGAATATTTTGCAGATTCAAATAACTGAATAGTAAACATACAATTTATTTTCCTTTGGTTTTTTGAAAGATACTAGAATAACTAACTATATAATAAAAAGATACAAAACATTTGTGCATTTTTTAAATCTCTGAAATTTTTTTCAGATATTTTAAGATCTAATTTATTATGTATATTTCCTTTTCTTTAACTACTCTTTCTAAGTTCATATGCTTTGATAAACAAATCAATGTTCCTGCTGGTCTCAGCTTCATCTGCTAAAAGCAATGTACTTCTTCATTAATATCTTCAATGTCCCTTTGAAGAAAATTTTACTTCTGCTTCATATAAACAATTTCTTCCTCAATAATATTTCTTTTCCTCTTTGAATTTTCAGATTTAGTTAAAGATTTTTGTTCTAAATTGCTAAAATCTTGACAAATTTAATAAGAAGTCCTTGCAACATTATCTCAAGGATTTCTTTAAAATGTGGATCTTTAGTGATGCGGACTGTAATTGCATATTTTATTTCTTGAAAATCAGATGGAGAATAATTAAAAATTATAAAAGGAGTTGTTTAGGTCAAATGAAAGGAAATTTTTTTTAAAAAAAATCTTTTAGATAAAGATATACTTCTTCAGCCTTCTTTTTTAGGATTTCATTGTACTTCATTCTCCTCTGTTCGGTTAGATTACATTATAAGAATATAGAAAAGGACACAAGAGCTGTCTGCTTCAAGGAAGAGATGCCTTCATGGCACTTTCTAAGGGAAACTGACTTGTATACATGTCACACATAGGGAGAAACATGAAAACCAACCGTGTAGCCAACTTATTCAGCCACTGGTGGGGCCTTCATGCTCCTGGCAGCAGACTTATCATGACGTGCTTTTTTGTCTTTCTCAATAGTATTAAACTCATTATTTAATTTCACTTCAGAGAAATTTAAAAGTGGAACCCACTGTTCCATAAGCAATCCTCTTACCACAGGACAGCCATATTGCCATGCACATGCTTTTGTACTTTGTATTCTTTCTTTTCACTTAGCACTTCTCATGCTCTTTCATTTAAAATAAATACATCTATTAAAATGTGAGCTATGTTAACAGGTAATGCAGCAGTTCTGTTTTCTGCTACTGTTATTTAATGAAATGGGCAACACATAATGATTACTTGTGGTGCTTTCTTAGAAAGGCCGTTAGCCCCTTTTTGATGACTAGTTATAACAGGCACATTGACTGCACAAAAAAAATATGCACAGAAATAAGTAGAAATACAGAAATACAATCAGCATAGAAATATTCTGAACAGAGACATCAGTTAAATTAGAAGACATAAAAATGAACTTTTAATTTTATCCTTTGTCTCACTGAAACAAGTTGCACCAATTGTATACAACTTGCAATTACTTTCATTGTTTCCATCAGCAGACATGATGAAGGCAAATTTTTGCATAGTTATAAGGTGTTTTTGCTGAATATTTGCCTTCTCGCTCAAGTAGAATATCTTAAAACAAGAAAATGGGAAGATATACACTTTGGTTTTATTATATTATCAGAACATTAATGGTATTACAATAATGTTAGTTAAAATTTAATTTTTATAATTTGAAAAAAATTATAGATATCCAAATCACCAACCCACATACTGCTAAGCTAAACTTCCCGCCTTTTTTTAGTAGTTCATAAAATGGTGAATAATCCCAAACCTTGTAATGAAAAGTAGAATGAGGTACTGAAAAAATAGCCCACCATTTCTTCACACTTCCTAGAAAAAAAGTGGACTTGCCTAATCACACAGTGAAGAAAGGTAACACCTAAGTTAACGACGACGTTACCATTCTTTACTGCAGTGCTCCGAAACCGGTGTGCCGCGGCACACTGGTGTGCCATGAGTAGGATATAGGTGTGCCGCAATCAAATACATGTATTTGACATTTTGCAATTTTTTATCATGTATTTAATACACAATGACAATTTTTTTTTCCTTAATAATGTCTATTTTGAATGCTTTTATATATTTCGCTGTTGTGTGGTTGTGTGCAATTGTAAGTGTGTCAGCACTTGAATTTTTTCGGCACTTCCTTGATAACTCGGAACTCTTTGGTGTGCCACAAAATTCCAGAAATATTTTTTGTGCGTCGCAGGTGAGAAAAGGTTGTGGAGCAATGCTTTACTGTATGATCTGATGGTAACTGCAAAGTCTAAAAAAAATGTCCTCTCATAGTGATTAATAACTAGATTTGATATTGCTCTGTCATAGTCATTTGTTGCCAAAAACTGATCTGGCGGGACAATTTTTGGCATCTTCACAAAAATAGAAAAATCTGTTAAAAAAAGTCTTCAAGTGCAAAATTGTAAAATTACACCATTTTCATTAAAATTGCAAAAAAGGTATAAGCTGATACACGTTTGGATTATTTTACTATGGCAAAGCACTCAAGGGCTAGATGCCTAAAGGGATGGATGCCTTCATGGAGGACTTTCTCAAGGAAACTGGCTCATATACCTGTTACACTTGGGTGAAGTCATGAAAACATCCATGCAGCCAGCCACTTGTGAGATTTGAACCTCAGACTGAACTAAACAGCTGGTGCAGATGCTTCAGCAAACATGTAAAGTGTAATTGAAACAAAATCAACTTTCATCAAATTATAAATTGAAAAATTCTACAAGGACTGTACCTAAAAATATTAATAAAGTTTTTGGTGGAAGAACTGCTACAGAATGAATATTGCAACATAAAGATAAAATTCAGAGCATGAGAACATATGCAAAATGAAAATAACTGCTATCCCTTATCTCATATTAATTCATTTGAAACAGAGCATTTACACTGATCAGATCCATACCAAATGATACAAGAGGTTATACAGATGCTAAATATCTACTAATTAACTCTTCCTTGCCAATTAACAATAATATATAAAGTAAAAAAAGCCTATAAATTTATATATGGCACATCACATTAAATCACAATTGAAACAGAATGAAATACTTTTAAGCACATTTTTCTCTCTCCAACACAAGAATAAACTCATCAGTTTCCTTAATCATACAATGGCTACACATGAAATGATTTCATATGACAATTGTAGATATTCAGTAGATAGATGGAATAAAAGAATCTTCAAAAAGTGTTCCAAAACACCTCTATGTACAATGAAGCTAACTGCTCACCACAAGATAATTTTTCATTGCCATACACCAGCCATTCTTCTCATAGCATCAAATAATGATGGCAATTACACATATATGGCACATCACATTAAATCACAACTGAAACAGAATGAAATACTTTTAAGCACATTTTTCTCTCTCCAACACAAGAATAAACTCAATAGTTTCCTTAATCATACAATGGCTATACATGAAATGATTTCATATGACAATTGTAGATATTCAGTAAATAGATGGAGTAAAAGAAGCTTCAAAAAGTGTTCCAAAACACCTCATGTACAATGAAGCTAATGCTCACCACAAGATAATTTTCATTGCCATACACCAGCCATTCTTCTCATATCATCAAATAACGATGGCAATTCAACACTGCACACTAGCAAATGCATTAAAAACTGTAGATTAAACAACCAGCACTTTTTAACACATATTAGTGTTTTGCTACTCTAAAATAATACCAGACCCTACTATCCCACAAAATCAACCAATGAGTATACCATCTTCAAAAACTGCTTTATGTTTCTCGCTTTCCTGATCTTTTTAAGACCACATTATTATTTCTTCTTCACCAAAAACAGCATCTGGAGTGTTTCTGATGAACGCAGGTGCTATGAATTCCCTTCAGAATGCTTTTAGTCATTTATATTCAAATTAAAGCCAATATAGTAATACTGAAAACAATTATTTTAGAAATTTAAGACATTTTATCTTGTTTACAATTCTAACAATTAAATTTCAAAACCTCACCTGAAGCATTAGTAGGTGAAGTAGCAGTACCCCAAGGATCAGTTTCAGTCACGGGACTCACTGACTGCCATGGATCTGGTACCTGGAAGCAAAGTATTTCTGATTTTCACAATACATACAGCAATATATAACTGAATCCCATTTTAATAGAAGCAATGCTTTAAGAACATCATGAACAAAAATAACAGTGAGTCACTGAAATTGAAAAATAGTCATTAATCAATTTTTCAAATCTTTCAAAAAAAAAATCCTACACACACTTCCACAAGTTGCAAGGAATTCCACATCAATAAAACCTTTTTGTTAATGATCCAAATTCTAACCCCTGACATTTAAAGAACTTGATTCCTCATTTGTCTCTCATTCTCTTTTTCATCAATGTGTGATAATAGGTATAGTCTGTGAACACGAGAAGAGACAGGCACACTTAACATAGTGTTGGTTGATCTCAGTCTCCGAATTGACACATATCGGGACTAATTTGCATGCTCTAAAAAATGGAATTTGGATTCACTCACTTCCAACATTGAATGCATCTGTCTTTCTTCCCACAGTGAAATTAACTCTAAGCCTCTTCTCATGCTGAGCAGCCTGCTTCATTTCCTATCACTACAGAGCCATCTCATTCATCTACATTTCTGTCTTGACAAATGATAGCATGTGATTCAATATCTAATTTTCTTACTAACACCCAAAATTACAAAATATGTCCTGCCAATTATTCATTGCTAATTTTTACTCCTTTAGAATAAAGTTACATGGCATTAATTTATGATCCCAAGCCATAATTTACTGTTTTTTAACCTTCCAGCACACACACGTCGTATTTTTTACGACATCCGTTGTTTTACTGTTTGGAGCATGAAAAACGACAGAAATGAAAGAATATTAATAATAAATGTTAAGAAATAAAATATTAATCTTATTATTCCAAAATACAAATGATATCACATTCAAATATAAGTAAATTATTTTAAGTTCTTATGTTAGTGAGATGGAAATGCAATGATGTATTTCATTATAGAAAATTTTAAATTTATTATTTAATAATATATTTTAAAATCGAAGCTAATTTTAATATTTAACAAAGACAAGTATAGACAATAAAAAAGGAAAACACCTTGGAAGGAAAAAAAGTAAGTTTAGCATTACGTACTTCTGCAAGGAAATTTACTTCTTACTGGTTTACAAAAACGCACTTTAAACTAACTTTAATGTTTTAATTTATTTCTAAAAAATAGAAACAAAAGAAAATAAGGAATGGAAATCGCTATTGTTCTCCCATCCAAAAGTTTCCTTGTCTTCCTTTTCGTCATTAGATCATTCTTGAAGAATCCAAGCAAAATCAGCTGGTTGCTCATAATTTTTCTGCTACAAAAACCGATATAAAATTTACAGAGCCAAATGTATTCAAATTAAAATAATACACGGCAATTAATAACACAAAATGACAAAATATTTTCCGAATTTTAAAACACGACCACAAACGTGTCGTAACTTTTATGAAAAAGCTGCCACGTAGCACAAAAGCCCAGTTAAAAAAGAAAAGTCAAATGACTTCCCGTTGGCACCTTCCATGATGTGGGGAAGGATAGAAAGGAGAAATAGAAATGACCTTCAGACGTCTCAGCTTCGATATGCGAAAAATGTGTATTAACCGCTTCCCTTACATATTTTTTTGAAAAAAATTGCAAAAAATCATCACATTTTTTTTATTTTATTATTAAATACAACAAAATTAAACAAATCAAAATATGTAGGTTTTAAGTTGAATTTTTAATTTTTTGAAGGTGTAAAAGCATTTATTTTTAATATTAGTTTACTATCCCGCGTTATCTTGAGCAAACGGAAAAAAGTGAAATATTAATCCTTGTATGATAGTTTTTGAAACAAGGGACAACACAGAGTGATACCTGACATTCTACACTGGTATCTGGTCTCTTTTCTTACTGGCTTACCGCTGGAATCTCTTTCACAGGAGCACAGAACACACTGTTTCGTTTCGATTGATTTTTTTTAAATTATTTTTTTCCACCTCTTCATAATCACTATCTGAAAAATCATCGCTTTCGCTATCTTGCATCATCGCCATTTATTTATTTTTTTTACGCATGCATCCTTCTTTATACATTTCTAATCCACAAGCCAATGTATACTATACAATAGGGAAACACGTGACCAATCCCTCCAAAAGAATCGTGCTGCAACCAAAAAATTTGGCAAATTGCCAATCAAAGCTGAATATTTCTTTCATTTCCTCCAGACCGAATAAAATCGTGATAAAAGAAATCGTACTAACAAATTCTGCTTCGCCCGAGTTTCCTCGGGATAATAATTAACTGCAATATATACCAACCCGAGATAACTTGGGATAATCAGGCAAGCGGTTTTTTGGTTAAAACTGAATTTGTCATAAATTTTGCGCATACACGCATGCTGGAAGGTTAATCTAAAAAAATAACTATGTATACTATATTAAGAATGATTGCTAATAAATGTGTTAATAAAAAGCTAGAAGTTAATAAAGTCGACATGAAACAAATATATGAAATTATATTTTATGGCTTAGCATCAGCTGAAAATATACTTAATGAAGCTTGATGATCACATTTTGTACAGTTCTTAATTTCTCGAATTATCATGCTTGTTCACGGTTAAAAACTGAGAAGCAATATCTATCAGACACGAAAGTACTAAATATTCTACAAGCCATTTGTGAATAGATTACAATACGTGCACTAAAAATTCTTTGGATACTTGAATTTTCTTCCTTCAGCTGATGACAATGGAAAAGAAAATTCCCAAATTAAGTTAAAAGCCTTGTTAGCAGACTCTTTAAAATATATTTATATTCACATAGTTCTGAATCCCCTAGCAAACATAAATACTATCGTGGACAGAGCATTTGGGATTAAAATATAAAAGAAAATATAATTTTGATTTAAACAGCCGGACATTTTTGAATTTCCTCTTACTATCAAGGATAGAGCATTCGGGATTAAAATATAAAAGAAAATAGAATTTTGATTTAAATAGCCTGGCTGTTTTTGAATTGTACCTTAAATACTAAAGTTATTTTCGCATTCAGCGTTAGTCTAAGGAATTATGGAAACCAATACGGGGAATAACTGATTACAGCCACCCAGTCTCACAAGTAATACAAAATTTCATCATTTTTCACTTCCTTCGGTTTCACCAATATTAAAATTCTCAAGCAGAACAATGCATGAAAGCATGAAGTATGTAATACATCATCATCAAATATCAGTAAAATATATTAGTAAAATATGTTTACACATGAGCAAGAGACTTGGGATAAATTCCCAATAGCTAGGAAATCTTAATTATGAATTTTAAATAAAAAGTTTAATAAGCTGAAAGTATGTTCTAACAGCAGCAGCAAAACTGCTCCAAAAGCTCCTTCTGGCATAAGAATGTATAATTCCCCCCGTGGGTTTTCATGATTTCCAAAAGCAATATTTCAATTTTTAACATCGCATTTTTTATATTTTGAAATCAAATTTTAAAAGCTTTTCAATGCACAGGCAAATACTTAAATTTGAAGCGAAATAAAAGTTTCAAAAGTTTTAATAACAAAAAAAAGATTAAGATATATTAAAGAAAAGAAAACGTTCCTTTCAAAAATATACTTCTTACAATTATAATATCCATTCCTGTAAACTATTTCATTATATGATCATTTCTCTGAAGAGAAATTTGGAGGAACTAGATTTTCTGACTGATAGCTGAATGTGCTTGCTACCTGTGATACCACGAGAGCTTCACAGTGGAAGCAATAACTCCTTACATTCTTCTAAGATTGGGTCTTCATGAATTATCGTCCAGCACATTTTTGCTGACCACCACTATGGAGACTTTTTTCTGAAGCATGAAACATCAACTATGCCCTTTCCAGGACTCAAGCTACTGGCTTTTCAATTGCTAGCCAGATATGTTACTAAGCAAAATACTGACACTGCCATGCCACACACATGTTAGCAAAATGCTGACACTGCCTGCCTAAGGAAAGAGATGGTACTTGATGGGCAACTTTCTGTCCGAAACTACATTGAAGTCATGCATGGTAAAACAAAAAGACCCGATCCAATTATCAAACCCGGGATGAAATTCCATGCTTCTAAAACTTAGCTACTTGGGCACTAGTAAACCAAGTTCCTTTCATTTCTTCTCAATTGTTAAAAAAGGAAGGTGATAAAGTATTGTCAGCACAAACAGAAGTAATTTTTCTTCAACTCCTTGAGCAGGAAGGCATTTTGAATATGATAATAAAAAAGAAAACTTTGCTATATCTGAACTGAAAAATTAATCGTTACTGTCAATACATATCAGTACTAAAATCACATTTGCTATGACTAAAAGAACAAAAATCTTTTCTTTAATTAACAAAAATTTGTAAGCATTTTACTGCTAAAATAATTAGTGACATTTGTACCATTACCATTGCTAATAAGCTACTTAAAAGCCTTCATAATACTGAGGCATGACTATAAAGCTTTTCTTTAACATTTCACACATAACAAATATAATCCTTCTATAGCAGACCCCACCAGTGACCAAGTAATTAACATAGTTGAATGCTGGACATTTGATCGATGTTTGATCCCATGTGATTAGGCTAGCTGTATGGGTGGTTTTCATGGTTATCCCCATGTGTAATGTCAAAATGAGCGAGTCTTTCTTAGAAAGTTCTCCAGCTACCCCAAGGCTGATAGTCCTTGTATGCTTTGTCGTATTCAGTTAACTTAACCTATTCCTAGTGAAGAAAATGTATTACCTTTATTTTTAATAGAAGCTAATATGAATACTCAGACAATATACAGTTAATTATATAACACAGAGAAATAATAATATTCAGACAAAGAACACGATATAATTGCACTGAAAAAGTACAATAATGATTATTTACTTCTGACAAAGGCATTCCCCAAGGATCTGTGTTTTGTTTTGATACTGTCTGACTGCTAGGAGATGAACAGAGAGCCAATAAATCTGTTGAAGCCTCATCAGCATCATCTGAACTAACTCTCTGATAATTTTCTTGACTTTCGTTAAGAGCCATCTGGAGCCTCAAATCATCATTACGGCGCAATCTCTCTTCCTGTTCAGCTTCTTCTTTACTCATGGCTAATGCTAACTGCAACTGCAATTCTTCTTCACCAGCTGTTTGAGGACGAGCATTTTCCAGCTCTGTGCAAACTGCTCCTAATTTTAAAGCATGACTATTAGAACTAAAAAAAAAACAATTATAACTGCATAATAACTTTTGAAAAAATAAGAAATAAATTTTTTAGCTTATTTTTCAAAATGTTACTTAAATTTCCTAAATCATAAGAAAATAAATTAATTTCATACTTCAACAATAGGAGTACAACAAAAGCTGATTACATAATTTCAACATTTAGAAAAAAAAAAGACAAGAATAAACTGATTTTTTTTTTTTTTTAAAGTAACATAAATACAAAGAAAATTTCAAACTAAGCCCCAACAGAAAATTCATAAAAAGTATTCATGAGGCAAAGCAATATGTCACAATACAGGTAGTATTTTTTTAGACATGTATTTTTGACATGAGCCCAATGCACGAGTTCCAGCGAACTTATTTTGTGCAATTCTGATTTTTTTCCATGCAACAATAGATCACTGCACAGAAGGGAAGAACAACAGTGCAAAAAATAAAGATTTCTTGAAAAGGGAAATGTTTTGTTATTGATGTTTCTTGCTCTTTTAATTTTACTGACTCGTTGCTCTTGTATAGAATTCTTAGTGTACTGCCATTGTGAAAATTGCTTTTGCCTTTCATACATTAGATAGACGAAAAATAGTCACCAATGATTTCACAACTGCTCTCCAAAGTCAGCAACACGTTTGTGACTTTTCGCTGATGGATGCAGATACTCGTAAACTACTGAGAAAACTGAAATTTTTTCCCTCAAATATAAGCAGGTTTTCTGTATTAATACAACTAAATACTAAGCTAACAGTGCATCAATATTTGTTTTGCACACACTTGTGTAACTGTAACATGATATATGACACAAAACTATACAGATATCTTTTAGTACTTGTAAATTTCTACATTTAAACTGAAAATATCACACTCACATATGTGGCATACTAAGCAGCAAGTTTTAGTATAAACATCCAAAGATATTAATATAACAGTACATAAATATTTACTTTGCACAGACATATGTAACCGTGTGCAAAGATATATGACAGAAAATTGTACAGTTTAATATTTCAAAATATCTACATTAGAACTTTAAACACTACATTTAGTTATTTGGCATCCAAGAGTTGCCATTCAAAGATTAAGAAATCTTTCACGATCTAGTTAACCTCTTAAATTGGAGGCTTACTGTCCAAAATTTTCATCAGGAATTCAGATTGGAATTTTTTAAGATTTTCTCTGCTGCCACAGGGTAACTAAGGATCCTTGACAAAAGCTGAATGGATAAAAGCACACGACTAAAGCCCACAATATAAAAAAATAATAATAATAAAACACTGTAAAGATTGCCCATGTAAGATAAATACAGATAAAATCACACATGGATATAAGCCTACATTAATAAAAGGACACATGATTTTTATTAACATAAAATATATTTCCGGCTATAATTGTAATAATTGAAATACCTGAGCCTGATTGTTGATGCCTTAAAAATATGCCTGTATATATAGTTTATCGCTATATTGTGTTTATATAATTAGGTCAAAAACAAACTTTTCTCCTTAAGTGGTTAACTTTAATGCACACATGCCAAATTCATGGACTGCATGCAGCCCTCAACTCATTTTTCTACAGTCCTCGGTTCACCTTAAAAAAATAACGAAACATATATAGTTGTAGCATACATAAACTTGGAATTTAATTCAATATCGAAGCGTATATACAACTTTGAGCACTATAAAGGGCTCTTGAGATGGGTCTCTACAAAAATATTTTCTGAAATGTTTAGAAAGTGCCAGCCAATTTTGTGACTCTAAAAGTAAAAAACTGAAGAGGGTATCAGCAAATTTTACCAATGCCTGGCTGCAGAGTTCCCAGAAAATCACAAACTTGCATCTTACGCTATTTCTACTTTACACAGTGCACACACACAAAAAAAAAAGCGTTTTTCCTGTCTCGAAAGCACCACTGAGGATATATATTAGATTTATATATATCATTGTTCTAACATAGGTATTCTCACACAACATTGGACTTTCCTGAAATTACAGATTTTTTTTTTCATATTTTGAGTCTATGACTCAAATTTCGTCTAGATATGAAACTGTAACTTTTGGTGAGAAATTTAAAAATTTATCTTGGCACATTTTTTTTTTTCTGTTTGCACCAAGAATAATTCACTTCGTGAACTTATTAATTTATAGCAACATATTTTTCTTTCCTTTTTTCATTAAACACAAGCAGAAAAAATTTCATTGTTCATACTTTCAATTAATTTTAACAAAGTGTGTAAACCGCATTTGGTGGTGTTATTGCTTATAACGAATATGGAAAACTTTAAAATGCGGCAAAATGTAAATTCATGTATATCTTAAGAAATTTTGAATAAAAAAACTCTAATTTTGTATGCTTAGAAATACATCTTACTTTAAGATGATGGTAAAAACTTTTATAGGTTCTAATTCAAAACTTTTTCGAAAAATTTATAAAAATTATTTAAAAATACATATTTTCAAAATAAATCATGAAAATGAGCAAATTTTATTTGGAATGAATAAAAATTTTCAAGTGTGAAAGGAAAAATCAAATAAGTTTAATTAGAAAAGATATAAACATAATATAATTCAATTAATAAGGAGGAGCTAAGATTTTTCAGAACTATTTGTGAGATTTTTACAAAACTTGGCACTCTGGCATAATTTGAGCTGTAGAATCGAAATATGAAAAAAAATTGGTATGTTATTAAGTCTGATTTTTGTGTCAAAATATCTATGTTAGAACAACGCTATATATAAATCTAATATATATCCTAAGACGCGCTTTCAAGACTTGAAAAATGCAATTTGAATTTTGTCATTTCGCCAAATAGAACACGAGACAAAGAAGTCCCTTTTTTTGTGCAGTGTGCATGCACGTAAGATCCATAACACGTATCAGTACGAGTAGCTTTACTCATTTATGAAAAAGAACAAATTCCCAATGAGATAAAGATTCGCAGAGATTCATATGACTTCTGAAAACTGCTTGTACAAACAACATGGCTTCCAAACAGCTGAAAGCTGGCTGTAAAGGAAAAAAAAAGATGCCATGTGCCAGTAAAGAAGCAAAAGACTACTAGGATTCCCTTATTTCCTTTTAATTTTTCTAAAGAACTACAGAACTAGATTTAAGTATTTATTTCCTTTTTAAATACATTATGATGAGAAAAGGTTGTTTTTTTGTTGTTGTTGTTGTTGTCTCGTGGCCCATGCTGTTTTTAAATAATGACTATCTGGACCACTTGAGATACTGAGTTTGACATGCCTGTTATAATGCTTCAAAGATAAATGTCGGACATGTCTATTTTGTGTATAGGTGTTATTTTTACATGAGAATTAAGAACATCCTTATAAAGTTCCTCAAATGCTATTTTTAACATTACATGACTAACACAATCTATACATACGATTCAGTATTAAGTAATTGGGGAGATGTTATTTAATCAAAAAACAGAATAAATTATTTTTAACAGTTCTAACAGAGTATTTTTAAGCCTCTTTTATTTCTTCAATTTAAAGCACTATCTTAAAGGACCAAAACATACTCAGAGTTATTTAATCTCTTAACAATACCATTAGAAGTAATTAAATTTTCAATATTTATAGATAATCTATTTTTTTCATTTACAGTGTATTTTTATAAGAAAAAAAATTACAGCACTGGCTACTGCATACATCATTCACTCAGGTGAGTCAGACTTGGTTGGTTAATTATCATTGCAGATTATTTCACTAACTAGGAATGAGACAACCTTGGAGAAGCTTAAACAGAGAGTGGCTCATATTTACATTACACATGGGAGTGAAAGCACAATAAATCTTGATCTGAAGTTATTAGTTTGCTTTAGTTCATTAGTTATTTCAAAGCAATTCATATTTCATGTAAAAATTAAAAAGGAGAAATGTAAAATAAACTTATGAAGACATAACCTAAAACCAACAAAATTTACTACTAATATACACAAGCCTTTGTCCGAAAATGTGTGATTTAATGGAATTCCACTGTAATAGGATTTAAAAATGAGAGAGTGATTAATTCAGCTCTTAATAATTCTTAGATAACAAAAGCAAATAAGTGCTCCGATGAACATTTTATAAAGATTTTTCTAGAAAACATTAATCATTCTAATTTTTTGATTACCTGAACCACCCAAGTTTTATTAAATTGGATAACTAAGATTCAATTGCAACATCAAAGGTTTCAATGCACTGTAAAAACGTTATGCAATATCGTACATTGGTGAAATTTTGCTATTCTTCTCACAGGACAACTACCATTGGTAATAATTCTGCAGAGAATTTTTGAAACTGCAGACCTAGTTGTTTATGGAGTATTACAGGTTTGTATAGTTTAATAGTTTTGGAGGGATGGGCTGCTTTCTTAAACAGATCCATACAGTTAAACTGCTTACTTTTCAACATGTGGATGTGGACTTCCTTTTGTAACCCACATAATACTTATCTAACACCTTACACATGTAAATTTTAATATCCATAGGATATCGATTTATTAGTTTCAAGGAAATATAAATTTGGTAAATTTCTATACTGACAGATGCATGCAATAAATAAAAGCAAAAGAAAATTAAAAGGAAGTTTAGAAGTTTATATTGATTGCAGACTATATTCGGATTATTAAGCCTCAGGCAACTGTGAGATTGAGCAATTCTTTCTTCCCACATACTTGCGATATCTGTCAATCATTAATTTGTAATGCAAGCTGAGCTTGTTGATGACATCAAATGGTTAATGCCAAAAATAATACATACAAAATGGAGTAGTTTTCCTCTTTTATGAAAGCAGTAATAATCTTGTATTATCTAGAAAATGGTTCCACACTGAACAGGGTTCTATGTCAACACAGTTACACTGCAAATAATTGTCTCCTGTATTTTAAACTAATTTTATCTTATTTTAAACACTGCAGCCAGGGAATCTGATGACTGATTTAACAAAATATGCCAATTTAGCGATTTTTGCAAAATAAGTGATTTCTTCATACCTGATTGAAATCTATATGGAAAAATTCACTAAGATTATTAATAAAGCAAATACAAAAAAGACAAAAACTGAGTAAAATTTCTTGTGTATGATCTAAGTTTTCGATCATTACAAAGCATAAAAAAGTGTCAATTAAAATATCTGACCTCTAGATGATGGTAAGCCATCAGGAGATGACTCTAACGAATCTTTGCCACCAGGTGAACACTATAAAAATCAGTAATAAATATTTATTACCATTCAGTAAACATGCAAAATTAATAAACTGCGTAATAAATAATAGCATATACAGGAAGATAACATCAAGCACTTCTCCATATAAGAAAATCTAAATATTTCACCAAAAATTCCACGGTAATAATCTTAAAAACTGCACATATTCATTGCAACAGATCACATTAAAATATACAGAGGGTATTTCAAAGCTGCAAATTAGCATTTCAGAGTACGATTAAAAAATATTTTCTCAATTACCTTAACATGAATTATTAAAGCACACAATTTCCCTAATTAATGATTTATGCTGTAATTTACTTAATATTTTATAAACGGGGTGGTCATTAGACAAATTTCAGAATAACTAACCCTTTTTAATGCAACATATTGCAGCTAACAGTGTGATAACTTTCAGTTTCAAGCAAAAGCATACTAATAATTTGATATTTTACTTTATGATTTCATTACAAATTACTAATTCTACAAAAAATACTGCACTTTTCCAGATTAAAAGAAGAATACAAATATAAGCCTTTTCTTCCAAGCTATTAAATCAGGCAAGGCAAAGATAACTTATTTTACGATCTGACAAATTTCATTATTTAGAACATAAAGAAATCAAAGAAAAAAATCATTAGCCGCTCAGAAATTACCAGATTTTAAGAACAAAAATAATTTGAGTGTCTGTATTTATGGAATGCAGCAGAAAGGAAAGGAATGACACCAAAAGATGAGTCACAGGAAATACTTTGTAAGGTTTATCTTAAGTTCCTAACAGTTAATATTTAGACAAAGTTACTTTCCTGTCTTTTCTTAATTTCAGTTTACAACTTCCGGCCAGAATGTATTTTCAGAATCGTGGTCAAATGCAAATGAGGAGAAGAAGTATTTAACTTGGAAGTTCTACTGACTTGTTAGAGAGCTAGATATTCTAAACAGCGCGCGTTCGCCTTTTAGGCTACTCTCTCTTAAGCTATTATTACACTCGGTAGTACTTTAAGCCCTAGATAGCTTTGCCGTTAGTTAACGCTAACTCTGTTAGAATTAACTCTGTTAGAAGGGGCCAACTCTGTTAGAATTTTGATAGTTTCGACTATACCTTTTTAGTTAAGTTTAGTTAATTCTTAATATTCATGAGTTCAAGCTCAAGTGGAGGCTTTATTGTACAACTCCAAGATGGAGTTCTGTTAAATTTATTTTGAATAATAAAGGGTATTCAACCCTTAAGTTTATGCTTCTATCATTTTGAACTAAGTGATTATTCGTTTACCAGTTCTCAACGTTCCAGACACATTGCAGTAACTTCTAGCTTTGGAATCTTACAACTTTATGGAGGTTTTTTTAGGGAAAACATGTTTGCATTACAAAAGCTAGAGCGTATGGAACATATTTCAAAGTCTTATCAGAAAAAGGAGTCAACACTTGAGCAAAGGAGCATAAAAACGACTGCAAAATGTAGACACAGTAGGATTTCATTTAAGTGGTTCTGATGACCACATTAGGAATACTGGTTACTTGCCACTTTTAAAGAACATGATCTCAAATGATTTAAGGTGGATTCCACTGCTCATTCTTCTACAGTTCTCATATATAGAACAAAGCATCAAGAGCTTTCAGAAAGGTTTGGAATAATGTATGCTTCTGCCTATAGCCAAATACATGAATTTTATGACTTGATCATGCACCTTAGTATACATCATACATTAGAAAATCTGATTAAATTCAGGACATATTAACTTGTTAGATGACTTGCACTACAATCTTAAACTCAACGAGATACGTTTTTTGAAATGATTACAAAACAAGAAAATAAATTCCAAATCATGGGTCACTTGAAAAAATTCCACATACAGATACCAGCTCAAATGATGAAGAATCTCTATTTGCTTTTCAAACATTTTTTTATCATTAATATTATTATTTAAAAGAAGTAACAAATAGTGCTTTTTTTTAATAGAATCAAACCAATTATTTTTATAAGTGGCCCACATTATTTTTTCCAAAAAAAAGTAAAATATTACACTGCAAAATTGCTTTCCTTTAATAAGTAAATTATAATACTTGAAATGCAGGAACACATTTACAATGAAAAGAAATACAGTAGAATCTCCAGTCAAAACAATGCATTTTTAGTATATACACCTCTGTTAGTAAGGCCATTCCGAAACCCCTAGATCCTCTAGTAGAGACAACTGCACTTTCTTTCAAGAGATACTCTCTGATAACAAAAAAAGGCCTTGGTTCCATGAGTGTCTGCCAACAGGAGATTCAACTGTATTTAACTTTGACAGTTTGAAAAAATAATTTTTAAAAAAAGAGAGAAATACTAACTCCAGCAGCAGCTTCATTACCAGCTCGTGATGAAGCTTGAGCAAAACGTTCTTTTGCCTTTAAAGCTCTAGATCGCTCACTCTTAAGCCTCTCGTCATCTTTTAAAAGAGATGCTAACTGACGAGATTTTTCTCTCACATTCATTCCCTGATCTTTATTTTCTTCAACATACTGAAAATCTTTAAGAGTTTCAATTGCATAAAAGTTTTCTTTACATTGTTGAGCCACCTTAAAATAAAATGCCACTCAGATATTTAATATTCTAATTTAACACATTCATATTCTAATGGAAAATTAAACAGTAAATTCATTAAGTAAGATAAAAATAATTTGAAATCACAGATTTCAACATTAAAATTAAACATATCATGTTAAACAAACAGCATAGAAGGCTTAATACATACAACAATACCCTTTCCCAGTATTAGCACTTATTTTATTACTTTGTTCAAAATACTACCTTCATCAGTAGACTCAGATATAAACCCTAAGAAACAGGACTAGGATGCTAAAAGAGAATTCACAGATCACCTTGGTTAGCGGCAAATATTCACTGCTTCAAAATATAAAAGCAGATATAAATAAATATTTTCATTTGAGTGTAATAACAGAAAGTGATTAAAATGTTCTATTTGCTGCCATATAAAAGCAAGAACTCCCATTTTCCAGATTTAAGGCCACTTTGCACCATGCCGAAATGCGTGTTTTCAACAATTATAGTAATGCCAACTTACAGTATATCCTTTGTAAAAGGGATATTAATTCATACTGTTCTTCCCAGAAAGAATGAAATTTGGTAGCATAAAAACAAAAGATCATGAAGGCTTTAAACCATTAAAAACAAACCTGTCATCAGCTGAATCAAAAAACCCCATTAACCTATGACAACCAGGTGAATCAATAATACCACTTATTTCCTTCTAGCAAGATGTAAACTGCTTAAATAAAAAAAAATATGGCCCAGAAAGGTCTGCAACATTGTTATGAAAAATACAAACGAAGAAGTATTGAATCATAGAAGCCATTTTTTCCCTGACTTTTCCCTTTCTCCAGCAGCTAGAAAATTCATTTTTTAAAAAGTCAAAGTTTATTGGTAAAGAAGTTATTGAGGTGCTGTTCGACAGTGTCCAGAAAAACTTGAGGCTATTAAGAGAATTTTAAAGTGACCTGAAGAGATGAAAATCCAGGATGAGCAAGGTCCGGTGAATATGAAGGGTGACACAAAACATCCCAGCCATATTCAATAAATCTTTGTCAGGCATTCATTAAAATATGAAGTCTAAGCCTTTATAAGTAATAACAAAATAAGTGGAAGAAATGTGCTTCAATATGAAAAACCACTGTCAAAATAACTTAATAATACTGAGTCTACTATTTACTGAGGCAAGAGTATATCATATTCCAGTTATGAGGGCAAAAGCCTTTTAAGGAATAAGTGTGAACTTAAGCTGGCCAAAGTTCCATGTTTGTTTGCTATGTTTCCAAAATGGAACCTTGTCTCATTCGCACAAAACATAATACCAAGCTCACTCTATTTTGGTCTTAAATTTGTAAAATCAACTGCAGAAATGTTCATTTTTCTGCTAATCACACTTCGAATTCAGCAACTGATGCAAAATAATACAAATGCAAACTGTTTTTTCAGCTGCCTGTTGACAATCACAGAATATTCTTAACAACAAAGAAAGTTTGTTCTAACTTGGTATTTTTTTTTATCCTAAACGCACATGCCATAATGGCAAACTTCAAGAGAAATGCTATCCAGTTATTATTACTGGCAAAGTCCTACCAGAAAACTATCTCAGGAAATCTCTTTTGATGCACGTTACAATTAAAACAAGGTCTCTAATGTTTTATTAATTGGGCTTTTCCAAAATTGTACTTATGGAATCCAGGAGATGGCTTAGATTTGCTCAAAGGAATAAGGAATTCATCATAGCAACAAAACCACATGCAAATGTCACAAAGCTTAAACAAATGTTCAAATACCAGCATATTAAAAGATTGCAAATTTTACCTAAATAACAAAATACAGAGCAGCATTGGATGCAATAAAGAACCATAAAAATTATACTCACTGGAAAACTTTACTCATTGCTAAAATATTTGATGCCCTCAAGGTAATACTTCTGATTACCATGTAATACACATGTTTTAATTACTGTTGACAGTTTATATTTTTAACCATTTCACATCAGCAGAGGTCAAAATCTATTTCAGTCAAGCATCTGAAACAACCGTATATAGGTATTGTTGTTGGAATGGATTTCCTTCCCCAATGACAAGTAGAATGCTAAAGTGCTAAAAATAACCTACTTAAATAAAGCAACAGCTTCTTTCTTGAATGCTTTCCCCACTGTGTACAGTTTCCCTTGGAACAGGATTGCAACTTCGGGCATCAATAACTGAACATTGACAGTAAACACAGGAAAAGGAAGGTGCATTAAAATAACAGGACTACTTTTAGTTGCTTCAAAGGAATGACTGGCATGTCATTTAACAACTCCCAAAAGCAATGAGCAATGCACTAATGTGATGAGGAAAACCACTAGGTAGAAAATGATTCAGGCGTTGGGGAACCAGCCAAATGTCTGAATGGTCAGGTGTTTTGGGCAAATTTGATGTGAAAGAGTAAATACATGATATAGCTTACTACTTATTTGAAATAATGCTCAATTAATAAATTATTCACAAAAATATTTCCAAACTGATTCTATTTATAGCAAATAAAAAATCTGCCAAAAACAAAAAAGGCAATATGCAAAATTTTCATAAATTTGTCAGTGACCAAATCAATGTGAAAATCAATAATCTCACTAACATGCTAGCATCAAAATAACCCCAAGAAGAGATAAACTATCTTTACAACAGAAAAAAATATGTAATAAAATGCAGAGTTTCTTAACTGATGTCCATTTTGAAATAAAATTCAATAATTTGCATACAGATGCAGTTTCTTTCAACAGAAAGCTAAATGCAACCACACATTTAGAAAAAAATTAACATTAATCTAGTATTATGCAAAGATAGAAATCATAATAAATAATGATTCATGAACTTAATATGTTTTAACATATATGTGAAATCTTCTATTCTGCTGTGACAATTTAAGTATTTTTATGATAAAACACTGAATTAACCAAGAATTCAATGCCAGCTGAGATACTTCTACAGAACAGCAGTCATCAGGAAAGGAAATTGCCACCTCCTCAATTAACCCTCTAAACTTCAGGACATTTTGGATTTGTTTACACACTAACTAAATTTCAATAATTAATTATTTTAGTCTCTGTTTTCATAAATTTCTATTCATTAAGATCTTATTTAGATCATTAAGTATAATAATGATGAAAGTACAGTAAGACCCCGCTTAACGCTGTTTCGTTTAGCGCTGTTTCGGTTTAGCGCGCTTTCATTTCAACCCGGGGATTCTCCGAAATTGTGCGCAGCGCTAGGTTTCCAAATAACATATCGAACAGTGTGGTTGGTTTTTTGCTTTGTGGAGCTTTTATCATTTGAAACATTTGATACATATTGTAAGTTTAAATTTATAATACTATAACGATTAATACAAGACAAAATTATGATTTTTAGGTTTTATCATGGAGGATAATAAAAAAAACACGAAAATAAAGCAACAAGAAAAAGCATTTCACTAGAAACTAAAAGGGAAGTGATTAGAAGATTAGATACCGGTGAACATCAAGCTCAAATTGATGCTGCATTGAATTTGCAACTTCAACAATAAGGACTATTCTTAAGAATAATAATAAAAAAAAATACTGTCATCGGCAACTTTCAACTACGACAAGCTCTGCAACTAGAATTGCCCGTTCTAGAAATAATACAATGGAAATGGAAAAACGACTTTCTATATGGATTGAAAGAATTGAACGCAATATGCCATTAAGCCAATCTATCTAATTCCTCTGACAAAAAGGCAAAAATTGGAATCCCGAATAGACTGATGACTGAATGACATTTTTTGTTTAAAAGATGTTATATTGTTTTTATTTTTGAGAAATAATTTGATTTATTTTATTAAAAACATTATAAATTTAATGCCTACCATTTTATCGTCTTCCCCTAACCCCATTATTTACATGTTAAGATAGTCTCGCTTAGCACTGTTTCGCATTACGCTCTACTTCGATGGAACGTATCCCCCGCGTTAAGCGGAGTCTTACTGAATTTAAAACATACTGTTTAAAGGTACAGGTATAAGAAAGGCATTCATGTTGAAAATAGGTTCCACAGCTCCTGGATACAGTTTCTAATAACACCGTGGTTTGTTTCCTATTGAACAGAATTCATGTCCATTAAATGGTACTGGAAGCAGTTAAAAATGCAACTATTATCTATAATAGTCATACGAGAGCTACTTAGAAGATTAACAGTACTTGTATGTTACAGCACTGTGAAAGTTATTTCCATGCATTTCCTGCAGAGGTTTTTTTTCACACTGTGGTGGAATATTTGCATTCTGATACGAATATTTGCATTTTTGACATTTGTATGCCGTACCCATGTTTGCTGTGCTGTACCTGCATGCACTCGTTGTAGTGCGAGTATAAAGACGAACTTTTCATCAAAACACACACTCTTCACCTGTACTTAACTGTTCCTGTTTATTCGTGGTCGACATTTAGCATCGACTTATCACCACATATTTAGTTTTGTATTTTACCTTTTAATTTTAAATGAAGTTAATTTCATGTTTTACCTTCTTTTAATGAACCTTCCAACAAGCTTGGAGTCTTGTGTCATAAACCATCACCACAATACTACATATTATGTGGTTGGCAATTTTCTTTCCTAATGGACATTGTAACTTACAAGCACTATATTTGTATCTCCTCAATTCAGGTCAAAATCACTTTTTTCTTATCCTTCGTTTGATTCTTTTGTATTTTTGCATTTGTGTTCTATGATTAACATTTTAATATATATCTGGATGGATCCCACATATGTCTAAATTTTTTTCACGGTGTAATTTTAAGGCTGGTTAGGCATTTTGGTGAAAATAGGTCATACTGCAGTAAACACAAGATCAATAAATGCTAACATAAAACTAAATATAATATATATAAATAATGGTGATACATCTCTATTTTTTTTTTTTTAATCCAATGGAGGATACTTGCCTATTCAGCATTGCCCACTCCTAAGAACCACTCCCGGAAGTGGTGACCATTTTATTGTGGAGGCACTTAATAGGCAGCCACCATCTCATGAAAAATGTAAATAATGATACATTTCATTCTTAATGAAAATATGCCCTAAGTAAGCATTCTGTTAACTCATTAATGCTCATGCACCCAAGAAAACAATCAAACCTCTAAACCAACAGAAAAACCTGGATGTAAATGGCAAAGAATATAATGCAGCTGTAGCATTAAAACATGGTTACAATCACAATTGATTAAACACTTCCTTTATTCTTGTAAAAATATTCTTGACAAACACAGCCGAAATGAAGGAATTAGCATGCCCACTTCTGAACAGCCGCATCATTATTTTTCACGTTTTTATGATATGTTTCAAGTAAGAAAGATAAGCAGCAGAAAGCAAACTTGCAGGCCAGAAAGGCAGAAATTAATTCCAGTATGAAGGTAAGGTTAATAATAATACAGTAATAGTTTAACTTTTTGAACATTCTTATTTAATAACCAATACTAATGAATAAATTGGGTATGAGAAATAAGTAGGTCAATTTTATACCAACCCTTCACAGTGAAACAGCATGCCACACATTAATGAAAGATAAAAGGGAATGCAACTTGCTGCTAACCTGCTGATCTTACAATACAAACATTCTAGTGGTTGATTAAGTGTTCAAAAAAAAGTACTGCTTGCTGAAGAGGAATAAAAAAAGCTGTTCTTGCAGTACAATCTTACTCATTCGCAAGAAAACTTATGAACAACTAACTACATCTAACAAAATAGAAAATCGTAGTCTCACAACATAACAACTATAAAAGCATAGCAATTTACATCAAATTTTCAACTTACAATGTTGAAACTATGAACCAGACCAAAAGAAACATGCTGAAGGCACATAATTTTCTTCAAAATAATACTGCCAACATTCCATACGCTTGTACACAATCAGTGCAAACTAATGTATATTTAGCATATTTAACAGCAATGAAACTAAGAAAGGCTTTAGAAGGCAAAGCAGTATCATGTTTACTATGCATAGTAAAAAAATTCAATCAGACTGATTTCTGTACAGCTCCAATGTGGAAATTAAAATGCATCAGTGCATTTAGTCAGTATTTATGCATTAACACAACCACTCTGGCACAATATAACAATGTTTTAGGTTAAAAGGTAGAAGCTACTTATCAGGTGGTGGTTTTTTTTTAGGGATTCTCAAACTGTCAGTAAACATTAGTAACTTACTTCAACAATTTAAAATGCAAATTCTAATTAAATAAGGATTACATGATACATTAAAAAAAAAAAAGACAGAGGATTATCATCAAGTTGTTATTTCATTTATCACGAAGTTGTTGTTTCATTTGTGGCAACCTGAGTGGTTGAATGCTATGGAAACCCTATTATGATGTAATTGGTTGCGTGATTGCGTTGAATTTGAATGATGGGGGAAAAGATTTGGAAAGGCTTGTTTTGTGTGTCAGATACTGGATAAGAAGTACGTTGTTATTTTGTGGTTTACACGGTAAAATGGCTGAATGTGGTAAGATTAGTGTAAGTTTCTGTATGATTTAGAAAAGGAAACAAAGCATTCATTGACTGGTGTGTAAATGCAAGTTTACTTAGTAGCCATTATAAGTGTCATGGTTGTAGGGAGGAAATGCGCATGGTCGAACGATACTGGCACTACGGAGGATATGTTTTACTATTATTTTTGTGAATTATGTGGCGACGCCAGTATACAGATTCTAGTTCAGATAATTTTTAGAGGGTTTTTGGGATGCTGTTAATGAATTTTGTTTGACTGAAGACACAGAAATTTGTAAATAAGGTAAAAAGAATATTTCCTTTGTGTAGTGCTAAAATGAATTTCCCATTTTATGTTATTTCATTGTTTCATTTAAAATATAGTTTATTGAGATTATATATTTTTTGTTCGCTGCTCCTTTGACTTTTTACGTGAATAGAGATTGATGTGTACGGGGACAAAGTCAAGGGAGTGTGCAATGCCTAGTTTGCATAATTCTCCGATTTTTTCAAATGAAAATAGATCTACGTGTGCATGGATACAGAGTTTGTGCCATTCTTTGACTTATTATTTTGGATTTTATGTAGCGGCAATCGCAAAAGTCGCCGCTACACAAATCCACAAGCTAAGCGATAAGCTGTCAGCATGCAGACGAAGAGGCGAAAGAGAGAGACAATGCTGTTATTACCTATTTATACAAGATAGGTGCACAAAGTACAGCTAATCTGCGATTGGTTAATTTTGGGTTTTAGTTCCATTTCTCGAGCAGCATTATGCAATTTAAGGATCATCAAATCTAGAATGTTAATTTTTGAGATTGCCAATTATTCTTAAAGCAGCCATCATATTTTGTTATATCTTACATATATATATATAGTTTAGCAGGTTAAAGAATGAGTTTAGCAAACATGATTTTTAACAACTGCTTTATAATTTTCTTATGTCAAATGAAAGCTGATTGCTAATTGTATGCACACTAATTGGGATTATATGTAATGTATCACAGCATGTTTTTCGCGTCAAATAACAAGTCACTGTCCAATTTACAGAAAGCCAAAGGTCTCGCAGATTCATATACAACACAACTATAACCACCACAAAGTAACAAAATATTCATATTTACCTCACAAGAAAATTGACTACTGAGACTGATATACGTCGTATATGAACATCTAAATCACAGTTAAGGCTGCTTTCGGTTAATTTCAAGATAATTAATGTCCGAGTCATGATTGTTAAATATATTTTGTTGACTAAGATATATAACTGAAAATACTTAGATTGTTTGTAAAAGGGAAGCAATGCATTCACATGGAAACTTTAAGGAAAAAAATTTGCATTACTAGATATGAAAAACTATGAAAACCTTATTACAGGAAGCCCAATCTGCTGCCAGGAATCAAGCACAGAATAAAAATTCTAGTTTGGGCATTTTTTTAACCATTAGAACAGTAAAAGGTCATTTTTAAAGGGAGAACTGCCGTAATATTCCCAAAGACACGCAGATTTTTTTTTTTTTTTTAAAGGCAATTACAACAAAAATAAAGAAAAGTTGTACCTTTTCTGATCCAGTTTTAATGAGGTACTCCAATAAAACTAAAGCTTTATATACATGTCGCCAGTTCTTGCCATGATCATTCAGGCGCTTCCATATCATTTGCATAATTTCAGAAAAAGCAACAACATTGTAAGTCAAATCAGCTATTTCACTCATAAGGGTACTAGATGGCCCCCATGGATCATTTGATGTTGCTTCCCTTACTTTCACTTGTGCGTCTGTATAATTTTTGACAACATTCTTCACATTCCGTCTCAAGCCCTGGACATTTAACATGATGTATGTTACTATTCAAGCTTTGTAAAAAAACACTTTCAAAGTCAATGAATCATCGTATTCCAAATGACTTCATTACATGCAGTTATAGACACCTGAAAATAAAATATTTATTTGTGAGAGAGAATCAAGAAAAGCATAAAATTTAGTTCAGAATAAAAAATAACTGCACAATACGGGTAACCAACTGAAGTGCAAAAACATACTGGCTTCCAAATGTTAATCATGCAATGCAAATGAACAGTTTTTAGAAACATAAGTTAAAAATGCCTGCAGTTGCAAATGACAATATGTAAATATCACATGCTACAGGCAATCACAACTGACTGTCCGAACATGTGCTAATTAGACAGTCACTGAAGACACCAGAATTCTGAAGAAAATGCCGATATAGCTTTTATACAACAATTTTTTTATGATATTCATATTTCTATGGTTGAAAGAAGACAAATGGCAGATAGTGAGCACTAGCATGCTGTTGGATGCATTGAAGCAAGACAGTCAGTCAATGTCACACTGATCATCTCAATGTGAACATCACACAGTTATCTGGCGACCTGTGCCAGTCAATCAAAGGTTACGATCCCTTCTGAAGATAGATATATTTCTACAGTAGCCAAATGGAATCAATAACAGACTACCACAACTGCTATATGCATGCTTAATGCATCACTTAATAAGACAATATCTGCCAGCATTGTGCACCAAAGGCTTCATATGAAGAAACTGTATGCCTGAAAACCAAATATTTATGTTCCACTAACTACCCAAGCCAGAGAGGCAAGATTAAAAGGAGATGTCAGCATTTCAATTAAACTGTCTCAGACTGGCAGAATGTCCCAATCACAGATAAGTCCAGATTTGCTCTGGAATCATGAATAAGGATCTGGAGAGAATGAAGTAGACAAAATTAGGCCAGATCATCATTGAATATCACACATCCAGAGGCTAGGATTTCAATGGGATATCATATTAAGATGGACATCCTTAAGGATAGTTCTGTGATGTCTGTGCAGTATCGAGATAAAGTCACACATAAGACTCTAAACTACAGTAGTAGTTCCTGATTTCCTCCTTATGAATGATAATGGCCATTCCTATTAAACTAACATTGTTAATGAAAGCCAGTCTTAGATACTTAGAAACTGCCCTAATGGAGGAATGGCCATTTCTAGCTCCTGCGACGGTTGATCACTCCATTGAAACAAGGGCAATCACCTTAAAGTTTCTGAGGAGGTCTGGGATAGTCATACACCTTATTAATGTAAGTTATGTTTGTTTTTAGCTTTAAGCAATAATTTGTTAATAAAGGAAATGTGACATGTTCATACGATTTGCGAAAATTAAATATTTTCATCTTTGTACATAATGTTTTTTTCTTTGACAGATAAATCCATTTAATACCTTTATGTGCAATTTAGTGCTAATAAAAGATTTACTTTTCAATTTTTATTGATTGTACCATTGCATACATAACTTCTGGAAGCCAGTGCACATTTGAAAGTGAGATGGTATTGTTGCATAGCACTTCTAGATTTATCTTCTAGAAAAAATACATAAGATGTATAACTCTTTACATGAAATCCAAGTTTTCACAGAAAAGGTACCTTTTTGGTGGTTTGTTTAAACACAGTAAAGCATGCAAAGGCTACCTCTCTACCAATGTTCAGAAAACGTATTAACATGACCATTGACAGGGAGATATCTTTTGATAGAGGTATTCTGCTAATTTTTCTATGGACATAAATTATATTGCAATAGCCTTATGTCCTTTTTAAACTGCAGCATAATCTCTTATCCCTCATATGAAGTTATATCA